GGTTGCGCGCGGCGGATCGAAGAAACGCCGCACCGCACCGGCAGCGGGGCCGCGCAAGAGCTCGCGCAGGGGCGCAGCGTCCAGCCGTGTCCACAGGTCCACAGAAAAAGCGTTGTAAGAACCCTGTGTGGTTTGCGCAAAATGGTCTTCGAATAGTTGGGGCTGCGACTGTCGTGTTTCATGAGTCGCCTTCGTGTCATGAGAACCGGAGTTTTTGTTTTTCGATTTATCTCTCGTTCAGCTCCCCGTGCGCGTCTTACATGTCTACGCTCCGATGCCTGCCCCTCCTACTTCCCGTGTCCCTTCGGTTCCGCTTGTTCTACCTCCTCTTGCTCCTCTTTCTCGTCCTACTGCTGCGGCTTATCCCGCTCATCCGACTCACGTGATTCATCCAACTCATCGTAGTCCTGCTTCTCCTACCCTTGCCGTTGTCGTTTGTGCGGGTCCGTAGTTGCTCCTGTTTTTCCGAGCAGCTGGCCGATAGCCGCCGAGTCTTGGGGGGAGATCGCATGTTATAAAGGCAGAAGCTCTAAGGTTTTGCAATCAGCACTGTGCTGTAGCCCACGTCGCAAAATGCGCAGCAGGCATAGGAGGACTGGGCGCGCATGCCGGGAGGTGCCACCGAATTGGGCGCCACGGTTTACAGCAACAGCAGCGCTAATGAGTTTAGGAGTGTTCGTTCCTGCCTGCTCACGTGCCAACCAATCACGTTTATTCCAAACCCTCGGTATCCGCCCTCGTCGTCTTAGATCGTACCCCCTCGGGGGCATATCTTCCTTACCTGTCACGCGGATTTCGTGCAGCCCCTAAAACACGGGAAGAGAGGACGGTTGGAGGGGGGAGGGAGAAGAACGGAGCTCGAGAGAAATTGGGGCAAGGAGCAGAAAACAAGTGGTAGAACCAGACGGGCAGATAAGGTGGGCAGACACATAGCGGGCAGGTCGGGAAGGCAGGCTCAGGCGACCAGGTCGAGCAGGCGGGTTGCCGAAGCGTTGGCCTTGCTTGAATCGCGAGGAAGTCTCCAGCGATAGCGCGATTCCCCAGTAAATCGTGAGAAAAGCCAGAGCGAGAGCGTGATTCCTGAGCGCCGAGGGCGCATTGTCTGGATCAAGTGCGAGGAAGTCCCACGCGAGAGCGCGATGCGTACATGAATTGTGAGGCCGCGCGAGAGCGCGATTTGGGAATACATTATGAGGAAGTATCATGCTGGAGACGCTGTTGTTGTTAACCGGGGGCCAGAGGCCCAGTTTGAGCCCCGTGAGTTTTCTTGCAAAAAAATATCCCGGCAAAGCAACCTAACAGCGATGTGTAGAAGCATATCTGAAAGCATTCCCCTTAAGATTCAGATGAAAATCCAGTTGTAGAATTCTGCTGTTCTCGCAGTCGTAGTCGCATTCGCGATGACAGTCGCAGCGGCAACGGCAGTCGCAGTCACAGCCTCAGCCTCAGCCTGCCTCAGCCTCAGCCTCAGCCTGCCTCAGCCTCAGCCTGCCTCAGCCTCAGCCTCAGCCTGCTTCAGCCTCAGCCTCAGTCTGCCTTCAGCCTCGGCCTCAGCCTCAGCCTGCCTCAGCCTCAGCCTGCATCAGCCTCAGCCTCAGCCTCAGCCTGCCTCAGCATCAGCCTGCTTCAGCCTCAGCCTCAGCCTGCCTCAGCCTCAGCCTCAGTCTGCTTCAGCCTCAGCCTCAGTCTGCCTTCAGCCTCGGCCTCAGCCTCAGCCTGCCTCAGCCTCAGCCTGCCTCGGCCGCAGCATCAGCCTGCCTCAGCATTCAAAATGTGGCCCAGGAATGGAGTTCTGGGAACTAGAAGAACACGAAGTGGCCTACAGTTGGCTCCGGGCATTCAAAATCATGCCCAGGAATGGAGTTCTGGGAACTTGAAGAGCACGAAGTGGCCTACAGTTGGCTCCGGGCATCCAAAATGTGGCCCGGGAATGGAGTTCTGGGAAATCGAAGAGCACGAAGTGGCCTACAGTTGGCTCCGGGCATCCAAAATGTGGCCCGGGAATGGAGTTCTGGGAAGTCGAAGAGCACGAAGTGGCCTACAGTTGGCTCCGGGCATCCAAAATGTGGCCCGGGAATGGAGTTCTGGGAGCACCAAGAGCGATTTTGCGAGGATGTCCCAAGCGATTTCGGCTTCAGCGGCAGCTTCCCGGGTCCCGCCCAGACCACCCTGAGGAGTCATGATGCTTTCTTTTGAGACCATTAGAAACCTATCAACAAGAGCTGTTAGGTAATGAAGCAGGGTGCGCGTTCGAGGAGAAGTACTCCAATTGAAAAACGCAATGGTCACCGGAGGGGGGATCAACTATAATCATTCTTCAGTAGTGGTAAGTTAACAACAACGACAACGGCTCCTGCCTGATACTTCTTCACAACGTATTCCAAAGATTCGCTCTCACGCCCGCCTTCCCGACCCGCCTGCTAGGAGTCTTCCCGACCGATCTGCCCGTCTGGTTCTGCCACGTGCTTTCTGCTCCTAGCTTCCCTCCTGCTACTCTCTT